TTGTTTTCTCCTCCAGATTGTTCATCCAGCCTATCTTATTTAGACAGACCTGCGGAGATAATAACATGCACAAAAACAAGACAGTGCCAAACCACACAATATACAACAAAACATCAACAATAACAAACCAATGACAAAAAACAAAACGCAACAAGAAAGAAAAGCTTGTACAGTAGTTAGTTCAAGGATTGTTTGTTGGCCTTTAGGAGTGTTTTGCAGTCCAGTCTGTTGGGGCACCATGCTCTGGCCCCAAAGTCCACCTTCAGCATTCCCTGGGGACCTCACCACTCCATTCCCTTGTTCTGTTGCACCCCCTTAGTGTTTTGCCTTGGTGTGGAGGGATCACATCAGGCGCAATTCCCACACTGTCTCTGGTGTTGTCCGCTGTAGGGTTATGAATCAGTGAGAGGCATCATATCTCATAGTGGGGCTGGCCATGTGGTCCTCTCTGTGGACTGGCTGCTCTAATCGGGAACATTGTCCTCACGGCCTGGTGGGCGAGGATGTGCTCCACTCTCTCCTCCTCCTTCTTCATCTGCTCCCGTGTGCTCTGATCAGATATGTCCCTCTACCGGAGCTGCAGATTCAGTGCCGTCCTTTGAAATAAATTCTTCGGTGGGGAGGGGCAGGTGTCCACATAGTAGTTGGGATTGGAGCCGGCCCCTTAATTAACTCATTTTTAAAAAGAAAAAGAAACCCACCAGGGCAGGTCTTCCTGGCCCTACAGAGTCACTATGAGTCAGAAGCGGCTCCTTGGGCAGTGAGTTTATGGAATGCGCAGTCTTTAATACTAGCTCTAGTTCTTGCATCAGCCACATGAAATAGGTGGTGTTATTCTCGTTTTTCTGGATTAAGAAACTAGGGCTCGGCTCATTTAAACTTGTCCAAGGACTCCTAGTGTAGATCGTAGCACTCACCCTGACCCTGTAGTGATCAGAGCTATGATTTTGAGCAGAGCACTGAACTACAGCCTGGCTGGGAGGGAGTGGGGTGTGAGAAAATGCATAGTGTCTCTCTCTATATATATATATATTTTTTTTTTTTTCCTGTGAGAAAAATGTATAGTCTCTCTCTCTCACACACACACACCCCTCTGCCATCCTTCCTGTGCCTCCCAGCAGCCACAGGCAAGTGAGCTTGTGGGATGCAGGCTGCTGAAGTGAGCAACCCAGCAGCCTTGTGATCATTTAGTTACTGGCCCAGATTCCTGCCAGTCAGCTCGCTCTCACTCAGTCCTTGCTGGCTTGTCGTTGTCACTGCTTCTGTCTCATCTCTGGCCATGCTGCTGCCTAACTCCTGCCACACCAGAGTCCCATCAGTCCCAGTGGAATCAGAGCCTGGTTCCAGTGCAGCATCTTCCGCCTACAAGCAGGGCCACTACAGGGCTCTTTGAGGAGAGTGGCCCTGTTGGAGTGGTGGGGTGTGTGTACTCTAACACTCTCAGCTTCTTTCCTCTGCAGTCTGCCAGGAAAGTTCTAGCATCTTGGCCTCATTGCATTTGAGCCATCTTCACTCCAAACTTAGTCAGACAGCCAGCAGCTCTTTAAGTACCCTCCCTCCCCTGTACTAAAACCAACACATTCAGTCTAGAGTCAAAGGTGAGTACACCTGTCCTTGTGAATGGGGTCAGTCTAGACTTAATGTTCAGGTCTCTTTGATCTGTTTTAGCCTCCTTGATCCAAATGTCCTTTGAACTTCTGTATTTTCTCCCCGACTTCCTGAGAAAATTTGCTGATATTCTGCAGGGTTTTTTTCTTTTCTTCTCTTTCTCTCTTTTAGTATAAAAAAATTATCTCTTCCAAGAAATTTCTGAGCTTTTTGTCTGTACTGCCCATCATGAGACAATGAGTGGGATGGAGTTGTGGGGAGAGCATTGGTCTGATAGAGACTGGTGGGGCCCCGGGATTTCAGCCCATAGACACCTCCCAAGCTTGGAACTGAACCACCTCTGGGACTCAGCCTACAGCCAAACACTACACAAACCTATGCCGTGAATAACAGCACCAGGGAGGAATGCACTTCTAAGCACAATCAAGTATAAGAGAGCAAAGGGGCATCCTTTGTCCTGAAGCAAAGCTCAGCAAGCAGGAAGGATTAGGAAAGGATGAACGGAAATAGGGAGCACAGAGAGGAAGTGGAAAGAGTGTTGCTGCCTTGAGGGAACTTCAGCCTCTGTTAGGAAACAAGATACGTATATGTCATTGCGTGGAAAACTGATTTGCTCTGTAAACTTTGATCCAAACTACACTTAATAAATGAAAGAGCTTCTTCTGTAATCGGCTGTCACGCCCTTAGCATTGGTCCTTAAATAAGTCAGCTCTGCACTCTCAGGGTTTCTGTCCTCCTGTGTGGGAGTCCAGGGCTTTGGACTTGCCTTTGCTTTGTGGGCATTCCCAAGGACAGCCAGAAGCAGTGCTGTGCGAGCCCATGCAGTGCCTTTGAACTCATCCTGTTCCCCAGCCCCGTGATCTTCCAGCACCTTATCTGACACCTCTTATCTGCCTTGGGCTCCTGGGCACCGACTGGGAAGAGTGGTAATTTGGTTGAACATGCCATCATTCTGTGCCACATTACTGGCTCCTAGCCGCTTCCTCCACAGGAAAGTCATCAGTGTTCCCATCAAGATGCGTCTCATTTCTGAAGGTCTTTTTCCAGAGTCCTAGCTGGTACCATTATTGCATGAGGTTCACTGGTGGGAAACAGAGGACATGCTCAGAAGTAACTGGGCATGCTGGAGTCCAGCAACGGGCTCTTTATTGAGGTGCTGTGGGCAAAGTGAAGGACACCTGTAAGATAATAGCTCCCAGTTTCCCTCAACTCCCATCCTCCAACGGACTCCCGACCTGAAAGCAAGGACTGCCCGCAGGAGGGAGACTGCTCGGTAGGAGGCGGGGGAATAAATGCCTTAGTAGTTTACCCTCTGCTCTCCTACTAACCAGTTGCCCTGAATTGATGCTGCCTCCTGGTGAGCCGTGTGTGTACATTCGATAGAACTGTGCTCCCCCAGGTCATCAGTGGCTGATTTTTAAGTCAGTTTCCAGGCCTTTCTTCTGGTTCACTTGTGAATGAACTTGAACCTTCAACCTTTTGGTTAGCAGCTGAATGCACTACGGTTACATGACTAGCCAGGGCAACCCTGGTCTCCCCCGAGTACCTCATTTCCACCAAACCCAGCTAGAAGCCAGAGAGTAAGGGGTACCTTGGTGTGAGGGCCACAGAGGTCAGACTCTGAGCATGGGGTTAGGTGGAAGGAGCGCTACAGACTGACTTCCTGAGATTAATCATTCAGGGAAACTGGCAAACTGAACTTCTCAAAGATTGTCTTTATCGTCTGGAGAGCACTGGCCATTTTTAGAAAAGATCACAGGAGTATGACATCTGGAGCCTTTTGCTCATGGGCGGAATGATAACATGAACATAATTGCATGTGTTCTGTATGAAGAGCTACAGTAACATCACAGATCAGAGGTCCAGTTGCTAAGAATTACTGCTTAACAGGCTATTTATAATGCAGTACAGCATAATGGTTAAGACTTGGAACTTGAGAGGCAAGCAGCATAGGTTCAAATCCTGGGTAGGATGTTCAATCTCTGTGTGTATCTGTTGCCAAATCAAATCATTCTGAGCATGAAATGGGTTGTTTGTAAATTGCCAGGCATGTGAAAACATTACCTAATGCTTATTAAGTAAAAATAAAAATATAGAGAGTTTCCAATTCATTAGGTCTTGCGTGGAGCACAGAAGCATGAATTCTTCGGCAAGCTCCACTAGGCCACCCCAATGCAAGAAGTCTGAAGACTGCCCTTTAAGAACCCATCAAGCTAAGAGTTCTCCTAGGGGAGAGCTACCCGTCATCCACATGAACTGCAGTGAATAAGCCATAAGCATTTTTCGCTGGGGAAAGTCGATGGGATGCAGATGTTTGATTGTGGCTTAGCTATAGCGACAGAGGTGTAAGAGAAATTAAATCTAACCTTTGTTGAGACTTCAGATCAAAAGTAAATTCCTGCCAGGAGTAAAATGAGTCCTATGACTAAGGAATGACAATGTAGAGCATTTTAAAACTCGTTTTGCTAATCAATTCTTTTTTTTTTTCCTTTCTGTTGGTTAAGGTTGCAAGATGGAATTTGAACATTACCTCAAGAGGTTTTATGTGTTGGATTAGTTCATGGTGTTTGTCCACTTCTGACTGTCTCCTCGGATTCAGTGTTTGATGCCCTTTTGAGGCACTGAATCCAGAGAGCTTGTGCCATGGACTGCAAGGAGAGCTGCCCAAGTGTTAGCATTCCCAGCTCTGACGAACACAGAGAGAAAAAGAAGAGGTTTACTGTAAGTATGTCACAGAAAACATGGAAACCATTAGCTCTGGAGGAAACTTGTGTTTCTGCTCTTCCATCGTCTAGACTTTTTTAAAATTTTTTATTAAAAGATCGTTTTATTGTGGGCTCTTACACCTCTTATCACAATCCATAATCCTTCTCCATGTATCAAGATCTTCCCTATCGGCTTTCAAATGGTTTCTCCTCCACAAAGTCTTCGCTGTCTGTTATAGCCGGAATAGAGCTTCCTGTGCTCGTGCTGGGTTTCAGGTATAAATTCTCCCCTCTGGAGAAGAGTGTGGGACACACGGGCCCACTCACCACAAGGAAAGCATGAGCATGCACGTGCATCTGGGACACACTCCCATCATTTTGCATACACTGATGCCAGTGCCCCCATGCTGAGAACCAGACCTCAAAATAGCCATAATCTCTGTCTTAGGACATTTATAATTTTCTAATGTCTCGCTCAGTTAAAAAAAAACATCTTTTTAATCCAGTATTTCCTAAAAAGGCAAGGCCCACATCTATCTTTACTTTTTATATCAGCATAGCAATTACTCTTGTCGGTTAGCATCAAGCCAGCCCCCAATTCATGATGGCGACCCCATGCACAACTGAACAAAATGCTTCCTGATCCTGCAGCATCCCCGCGATCAGTTGAGGATTGGACAGTGTTCTGCTGTGATTTACAGGATTTTCACAAGTAGATTTCTAGGTCTTTACTCCGACTTGTCTGGAGGCTCTTCATTCAGCTTCGGAAACCTGTTCATTCAGCAGCATCACAGCAACACTCAGACTTTCACTGAAAGGTGGATGTTGGCTGTTCGAGAGATTCTTTGACAGGGAATTGAACATTAGACTCCGGCATGGGGGCATGAAGGCTACTGTTGATGCCCCCCCCCCCCAAACCTCATCTGCCATAGGACTTTATAAGTTTTAAGTACAGTAGTTGTCAGACTTTATAAATTATAAGTATGGCAGCCCTTGACTTAACCACATATTCTAACTATGAGGACCTTTACTTAAGAACAATTTTAAACATCCTATTGTTAGTAATATGTATTTCATACAGTATTGCAGCACCTAAATGCTGATAGTATCATTCTTATGCCAACCCCCAAAGACAAAGATCAAATTAATAAAAATACTGACAATAAAAGGCACCCGCAATGACAACTGAGAAAGAAACGTATTCGGTTTAATGTCAGAACCAACTTTGGACTGCATCCTCAGAACAGAAGCCTGTCTAAACAACTGTGTGTACAGGGAATATTCGCTGTAGTAGCCTGTCAGTGACTATTCTCAGAAAATACTGTCATGAAAACTCTATTATTAAGTTCCACTCGTCCAGTTCATATATGCAAAGATCTCTTAGCACCACTACCCTGAGAAAATGACATTTATTTTGTCTCTAACTGATGGGCATCCTCACAGTCCTGGACTCACCTGGACAGGATGAATAAACTGACTTCACCTAATTTTATTTAACACTTAGTTTGGGGTCATAATATAACCAATTGTTAGGTAATGCTCAGTCTGTAGATGCCCACACCCTCTAGCTTTGCTCTCCGTGTCTCATCTGCGCTGTGGTGCAGGAGGAGAGGGGCTCCTCTCAGTGGGCTGAGACGGCAGTGACTGAGCTCCAGACAGCAGGGTGGAGGCTCTGCACTCCTGTAGAACCTGTAGATCCTTGCCATTCCTGCTGTGAAGAGGCTGGTCTGGCGAACTTTTGGCTGTGGTTGGCTGAATCCACCCCTGCCATTTCCCAGGCATCCTTTGCTGGCATTGGTAGTTGATAAAAGAGCTTGCAGTCTGTTCTTTGTTGGCTTGCACAGGGACTGGTGGCCACTCACTGTTGACTCAGCTTCACCTTGGCTTTGGGTGGTTGTAGAGCCCACAGAGTCTCTGAAATATCCTTCACCGGGTCCTCCTCACTCAAGTGGGCTACCCTAGCTGGTAACAAAGAGCACCTGGTCTCTGCCAGGTGAGCCCCAGGACAAGTGACTTTCAGCTCAGAAGGTCTGTTTCAGGGCGGAAATGAGGAGAGCTGAGGGGTTAAACCCTGTCTGTCTGATCGCTTCACTCTGCCTTCTTCCCTAGGCTGGGTGTCCCTGTTGATGCCAGGTCCTCCCAACTGCTGCCTATCTCCCAAGGTCCTATGCAAAGAACTGGAAACTGCTCCCCTGCTCTCTCTGCTCCCTGAACAACCACACTTGCTGTGCCCATCGCAGGCCAGGTGTGTCTGGCCACTTTCCACTCTGGTGACACAGTGGCTAAGCACTTGACTGCTAAACCCACCAGCCCCATCCAGAGGGAAAAGATGTGGCAGTCTGCTTCTGGAAAGATTAGCAGCTTTGGGACAGTTCTGAGCCCTGTAGCATCAGGGGGAGTTGAAAAGGACTTGATGGGAATGGGCTTAGTTCGTGTTTTGTGTTTGTTTGTTTGTTTGTTTGTTTGTGGGTGGATCACAAAAAACTTCATGCCTGTATTTCATATTCTTATAAATGTTTAGCGTATCACAATGGAGGTGAACAAGGGACACCAGCTTTAAGGGCAGACTGCTGGACTCTGGTGGAAATTGTTTCCTGTTCCTGGAGATCCCCCACAGAGTTTGGCATCTATCCCCCCACACCCAACTCAGCTTGCCTACTCTGTTCTCCTTGATTGTGTAAGAGGTTGACTCCAGACATATGGACACTCATCTTGTCCCTTAACATAATAAAGACAACTCCCTCCCAAGGGGAGTTACAACCACATGCCTAGAGAGTAGAATTTATAGCACTTAGCATCAACAACGAAGATGAGGACACACAATTTGATCCTTAATAAAGGATTTATTCAATCTATAATGAAGGATTTCTTTCACACACACCCACACACCCTTTACTTTTTTGAATCATTTTCTTCTTCAGAGGCATTACCTCCTGCCGTGCTTGACTGAAGTTCATATATAGCAATACATGTATAGGTAGTGGGCTAGCTCAGGGGTCCTTTGATTTTTCCAGAGTATTTTCCTTTCTTCTGTTAAAGTGTGAGGTAGCATCACCCTACCACACACCCCCTTACCCCATTCCCACAGCTGTTCCTGACTTTTCAGAGATTCTGTTGAACGATGCTGCTTCGTTCATGTCTTCAGACTCTCAGTTGACACTTCCCAGAGAGAGACGTTCTTAACCACTTATAATAGCACCTTCATATCCACCCCACCACTTTCACTCTCTGCCCATGCTACCTTACTTTATTTTTATACGCTACTTAATTTTAAACAGCTGTGATTACCATTCAGCACACTTTGTGTTTATTTATGTTTACCTTTCCTGGCTAAAACACAAGGTCCTTTCAGGTGAGGGCCTCTGTGTTAGTCCAGGTGGACTAGAGAAACAAATCCAGAGACACTTATGTGTGTAAGAGAAAGTTTTATATCATAGAGCAATTGCATATTGCGAAAACATCCCAGCCCAGTCCAGATCAAGTCCATGAATAAATATTAGCCAATATGTTCTTCAGACTCACACAACACTTGCAGTGATTCTGAATGCAGGAAGATCACGGATCAGTGGGTGAAAACTTGTGGATCCAATGGCAGTGGAAGCATCACAGGGCAGTCTCCACAGGTCCCCACCACATGGCTCCACATGGCTTGTCCACTGGAAGACCAAGGGAGAGAGGAAGTTCCCCAAATCATCATGAGAAGGCCACGCCCACAGGGAGGCATCATCAGGCCTGACAGGCTAAACCCCACCACTACACTTATTTATCAAGTTGACATGAAATTATGTAACTACCACAGCATCCAATACTTTTGTTTTACCTAAGTCTCAAGCAGAGATAGTAGCTGTAGAAGGAATATTAGTTGAACTGATCTTGGATCTAAAGTACTACTAAGTTCATGGGTTTGTTGCTGCCCTCTGTCCTCACAAAACTTTGTTCTAATTAGCATAAAGCTCACTTCTCTCCAACACAGGCTTCAGGCCAGCCTAGCAGGCCCAGACACCCCGGTTATAGTTAGGAGCAAAAATAGAAATTGTGTTACTGAATATTCAATAATGTATTTATACTCAAGTTCTCATTATGTCTTCCACATAGCTCAGTATCATGAAGCCGCTGACAGAGAAATGCATTGCATTCTAGAATGTCTGGACTTAAACAAGTCTAAATTATATCTTAATTTATTCATTCAACAAATTAGCAGTTAGTGCCTAGTGTATCCCTGGTACTGTTCTAGGCACTGAGGGGACCCAATGGGGAACAGAATGACAAGACCCTTCCTCTCAAG